GAATGCTAGGCCAGCACTCCCCCACTGAGCTACTCTTCCAGCCCTCCGTCTCAGTTTAGCTCAGGAATTGATCCTTCTTGAAGTGTTAAAATGAGATCAATTATGTTTTCATAATTTAACCTCTCAAAAATCAGATTCCTTCATTTAGGTCAGTTAAGTATATTTCCGTTATATTTCTAGAAAACTTGTGAAACTAATGGTAGTAAACTTGGGATTTTGTGAGAGGGAAAAATAAAGTATTTTCTGATGCAGTATACATGTTGGCTTATATGTAACAAGAATAAAAAGGCTTATTTTTAACTGTTTCACATTTGCAATTTTTAATAACTATCTCTTGGAATTTTATTCTTTTTAGTTCTCTTCTATGGCCGAGGAAATCTTTGAGTTCATAATCACTGCTAACTTCAAGAGTTTCAACTTAACTGCATATTTCAGATGCAGAGGAAGCCTGATACAAAAGTTGAATTGGGGCTGGATGTGGTGGTGCACACCTGTAGTCCCAAAACTTGGGAGGCTGAGGTAGTAGGGTTGGTGAGAGTTTGAGGCCAGGCCACCCTGAACTACAAGGGCAGATCCCATATCAAAAAACAAAAAAACCCAAAAAATGGGGACTAAGGGAGTAGTAGCTCTGTGGTAGAATGCATTTTAGCATGTGAAGTGTGTGGTGTTTGATCCCCAGCACCACACACACACACACACACACACACACACAAGTAATGGGCTGTTTTTTAAAATTATCCACTGAAGAATTCCATTTTATGTCTTTGTTAGTTTTTCTCAGAAGAAAGTTGACTTCCAGTACCTCCATCAAAACTGCAAGGCCCTTTTTCTTTTCCTTTCAGCCTCCTTCTCTTCTTAGGTGCACTGTTGTGTGCCAGAGACACTGTCATTTTCCACAGCAGTCAGGGCCTGTTACGATGGGCCCCGCAGGTCACCAGCACCTGACTTGATCCACACTGCTGCTCCATTAACCACTGGGGAAGGTGGAAGTTAAGTCTGCAGCACCTTGGGGGTGCACATAATTTTGACCACCTCTTCTTTGCCCAGGTTGGCACATGTATGATCTTTGTGGAGATGTTAGTATTTGCTGCTTTGTCTGTTCAGTTTACAGCTTAGCTGTTATAAAGCCAGGAGACTCAAACATGACCTACAGGATAGGTAAAAGATGCCAGGATTTGGGTTTTAAAATTTTTCCAAAAACAGCTGGAATTGTGATCGTATTTGTAGTAGTCTAGTGCTTTCAAGTCTGTCTCTGCTCAGTCATCCTTCACACGCACACATTATGTGTGGAGGACTCCTGCCCTGGGCTCCGATCTCCTGCAAGTGTTTCTGTGCAGGCGAGAGAGAAAGAGCAAGAAACAAAGGGGCAGAACAGCAGCAATCCCAGATGACCAGTTGTTCACTATGAGGCAGCCAGAAATGTGGCTTTTATTGATTGAGGAGGGGATTATCGGATAACTCATCAGGCGGAGGTGGTCTTATGCCGAAAAGGGTCTTGCCCTGGAGTGTCTTTAGTCTTAGTAGTCTTAGTCTTGGTGTGAGAGGATGGTCCATCCCTAATGAGATAATGGGAAATCTCAAAAGAGTGATACCAATAATCTCAAGCCTCCATTTATCCATTAGGGAAGTGTGCAGAATTAGCCATTGTGAAGTTATGGTCCCCAACAACACATTCCTGCCCCTATCCCACAAACATTCTCGACTGTTGGAAATGTGGAAATTGAACTCTTTGGCTAAGGCTGTGTTTACCAGGCCCTGGGTTTTAATGGGCTTCGATTTGCAAATAATTGCTTAAATGGGAAAACTACATAATAAAAAAGTAATTGCCATGAATAGACATCATCAGAGAAAAGGTCCATCTGGTAAACTCAGAAAAATAACGAAACTGTCCCTCCCACATTTAAAGTATCATATGATAACCACTGTTTTAACTCCATTAAGTGAGACTATGGGATATGGATTTCCAGTGGGCATAGTTATTTAGCATTAAGTAGCGCTTCATTTGTGTATTATCATTTAGCATCTGAAGTAATACTTTAAAATCAACTGGTGTGCTTTCATCCTTTTAGGAAAGAGGTTTCCCTGGTGAATAAATGAGGGTAGGACTGATAAAGGAGGCTTGGTTTCGTGGCCTCAGCTGCTCCAAGAACTCTGGTTGTGGGAGGCACCTCCCCTTTCCAGCTTTATTATTTTCCCATCTTTACTTTTGGATGACACCATCTCAATGATCTACTTCAAAATGATAACTGAAGATTACTAGAAGACATTTCTTGAGCCTCGAAAAGTTACAAAACATATTCTTAACTAGATTTGCTTTTCTCTGCCCTTTTTTGGAAGCAGAGTTGACCCTCAAGGACGCCATCCTTTGTGAGTTCTATTGTTAATATTCTAAGGCCTAACATATGTATTGTTTGTTGTGTTAGTTTTTTTTTTTTTTTTTTTCCAGTACCAGGAATCAAGCTCACAACCTTGAGCTTCCCAGGCAGGCGCTGTGCTGCTGAGCTAAATCCCCAGCCCCTAGTTTTGTTTTAAACATCTTTATTAAGATGTAATTCAAACATCATGAAATCCACATATATAGAGTGTACAGGTCAGTGATTTTTAATATGGTCACAATTGTACAATTAATACCACACAATCAAACTTAGAATATTTTCAGCTGCTCAAAAAGAAACCTCATACTCATTAGCTCTTACTTTCTATTCCTGTCCCCACTCTTCCTCCACCTATATCCTTAGCCTTAAGCAACACTGATCTACTTTGTCTATAGATTAGCCTGTTTTGGATATTTTGTGTAAATAGGATCATGCATCACATGGTCTTTTGTGGTTGGCTTCTTGGATAAACTGCTCCAAGGTTCATCCATGTTATATCAGTACTTCATTCCCTTTTATGACTGAACGATAGCCTATTTAAAAGTGCTACCATACTGACTTACAGAGATTTGAGTTGTTTGCATTTGTTAGATGCAATGAGTAATTCTGCTACGAACATGCCTGTATAAGTTTTTTGTTTGTTTTTTGTTTTTGTTTTTCTTCTGTACCAGGAATCGAACTCATGACCTTGCGTTTACCAGGCAGGCGCTTTGCCACTGAGCTAAATCCCCAGCCCCCTGTATAAGTTTTTGTATGGACATTTATTTTCATTTTTCCTGGGTATATACCTAGGAGTGGAATTGCTGGTTCATATGGTAAACTATCTGGTGTGGCCATCCCATTTTACGTTTCCACCAGCAGTGTGTAAGACTTCCAGTTTCTCTACATCTTTGCCAACCCTTGTTATTGTCTTTTTTTTATTAGTACCATCTAGAAGATATAGATGGGTTCTTAGGTGGTTTAGATTTTCATTTCCCTGAGGACTAATATATCTTTTTCATGTGCTTAGGGGCTACTTACATATCTTTGGAGAAACATCTTTTTAATTCCTTTACCTTGTTAAACATTTGTTTTTCAAGTTGTAAGAGTTCTTTATACATTTTAGATACAAGTTCCTTTTGAGACACATGACTTTGAAAGTATTTTCTCCCATTTGGGGGACTGTCTTCTCACTTGATACATTGTTTGCAGCACAGGTTACCTGTTCTTATAGCCACCCTACTCATCCAACCCAGGGCCTACGGCAGACTTGACAAGCTACACCCCAGCCCGGTGGTGTTTTAATGGAATTGATTTAATTTGATTTCATTCAAGTTCTGCTTTGTTTTTTTTTTGTTGTTTTTTATTTTGAGGGAAGGTCTTGCTGTGAGCTGGCCTTGAAGTCACTGTGTATGTAGCCCAGGCTGGCCCCAACCTCACAGTGATCCTCCTACCTCAGTCTCCCAAGTGCTGGAATTATAGGCCTGCACCACTATGCCCACACATGGCCTTCAAACTATGTTCTTATCCATTAAGATCTCATTCTCAGAGAAAGGAAGGGTTTTGTTTTGTTTTTATGTATGAAAATATTCAATGTAGGTTTCTTAGGGTGAACTTAAATATATTTGTCCAGAAGTTCTGCCCTTAGAGAATTCTTTGTAGTAGACCAAGTATTTTTGAGTTCTATGAGGAAAATACTCTTTTTGTTGTTTGTTTGTTTGTTTGTTTTCTGGTACCAGGAATTGAACTCACGACCTCGTGCTTGCCAGGCAGGTGCTGTGCCGCTGAGCTAAATCCCCAGCCCCAAGGAAAATACTCTTGTGAGAGCAATTCCTTGCTGCCCCATTGCCAAAGCAAGGGGTTATCAACCCAGATACCTGGCAGAGACTGGAGCCATTTTTAATTGTCTCATTTGGGCAGGGGGTGTTGCTGGCATCCATAGGGTAGAAACCACATGTGCTGTTGAACAAATTACAGTACATAGGACAATGTCCAAAACAAAGAATTACTTGTCCTCAAAATCAGTAATTCTGAAGGTTAGAAACTTTAGCCTGAAAGGTGAGATCTGAAAATGTTAGGTATTGAAGAGTTTTTCAGTTCATGTCTTGATAATCAAATAAGGGTTGCTAATCAAATAAAAAGAGAATCTAATGCAGATAGAATCCCTGTAGATAGAACTGTAATAGAACTTGTAAATTAAATTGGGAACATTTTTTTGTGTTCTCTGAGCTGCCAATTTGTATGTGAATTACACTTATGGTAATATATACTATTTGGAACAGAAATGCTAATTGGAACAAAAGTAGTTTTGATTGTTCCCTACACTTTAGCCTCCAGGCCCACCCTGAGACACATACCAGCAAGTAAACAAACTAGGCTCATTTAGATAGATACACATTGAAATGGCGGTCTTCTTAGAGGATGTGACAATGAGATTTTAAGGCAAAATTTAATAACTGATACTTTAGTGGTTGGCACTGTCAGTGTGCCCCCATAGTTTATGAAACTAGCTTTATCTTCCTTGCAATTTCCCTGTTGTATCTCCCACAGGGTAGGAGGATGCTGCGTAGGAAATGAATCAGTACACTTAGAACATTTAAAACTGTACCCAACACAGTGTTAATCATAGATCTTATATTTTTCCAGCCCACTGCTATGGACAGTGCCATCACCCTGTGGCAGTTCCTCCTTCAGCTCCTGCAGGAGCCTCAGAACGAGCATATGATCTGCTGGACCTCTAACAATGGGGAGTTCAAGCTTCTGCAGGCTGAAGAGGTGGCTCGTCTTTGGGGAATCCGCAAGAACAAGCCCAACATGAATTATGACAAACTCAGCCGAGCCCTCAGATACTATTATGTAAAGGTAACACACATCCTGATCTCGGTGTTACACAGAACCTCAAGATGAGCACTATTCCATCTTTTCTGTTGCAGCTGTAGATTTTACTGTCTTGCTTTATTTTAATCCAGTTTATTTTATAGCTTCAGTAGTTGGGAATTAGGACATAAGATGTAAACGTTCCAGCTGTATTTCTTTAAACTCTAACTCAGTAATCTACTGTCATCGCAGTTTATTTCTTACTGCAGTTGTCTTTACAAGAAAAAGTACAGGATTTATGTACAAAAAAGCAATCATGAATTTCTTAAGGATAAATAATGTCATGTCATAACTTCCTTTGCTGTTTTGTTTTGATATTTTATTTTTTTTGAAACACGGTCTTGCTGTGTAGTTCAGGCTGACCTTGAGTTCACTGTGTAGCCTAGGCTAACCTTGAACTCAAGTGATCCTCCTGCCCTGGCCTCTTGAGTGCTGGGATTATGGGTATTTGCCACCATTCCTGGCAGTTTACTTTGAAAATTGTCCTATATAAGTTTACTTTGAAAATTGTCCTATATAGCACTCTGGGAGGGTTAGGTAAGAGAGTTGCAAATTGGAGTCCAGCCTTGGTGACAATGAGAGCCTATCTACCAAAATTAAAGCCTGGGGATATAGCTCAGTGTGAAGGCCCTGGGTGCAATCCTCAGTACTGCAAAAAGAAAAAATGTCATATATACTTGTTTTTGTAACTTTATTTAATTTTTATAATTTAATCCAGGAAACACAAATTAATACTTTAAAGGATACCTGTTACTAGTGTTAAAATTATTCTTAGTTTAAATTGCATTTCTTTGTTTTTTAAAAAAATTTTATTGGTACATGTTTGTAGTACATAATGATTACATTCCTCATGGGGAGTTGGTATGTATACGTAACACATCCTTTTTTTCATCCCTTTCTCTCCCTCTCCCTCCATATTTCTTTAATTTGTCTTTTTGTGTTTGTTTTTGAGACAGGGCCTCACTTTGTACAGTGCAGGCTGGCCTTGAACTCACTGTGTAGCCCAGGCTAGCCTAAAACAACCATCCTCCTCCCTTGGCCTCTTAAGTGATGGGAATACAGGCCTGTGCCACACACTCAACTACAGTGGTATTATTTTGAATACATCCTTGGGCATCAAGGAAAAATAAATGCTCCAGGCTTAGGATAGGAAGCTGAGGTCTTTTTTTGCCCTTAGGTAGTCGACGTTATCAGCTTTATATGAGATAAAAGGCAAGCTGGGGAGCAAAATAAAAGAGAAGGAAGTAGGGAGATCTCCCCTTCTCAAAGGGGAAGGAGATCAAGAAGTGAAGGGAAGGGGTAAGGGATGAACAAAAGGAATTGGGATGTGTTATGTACTGTGCCAACTTCCCACAAGAATGTAAACATTGTGTACTGCGTACATGTTCTGATAAACTGAAGAAAAAAAGCAAAACAAAAACCCTTCTTTTCCTTGCTCAGGAGTTTGAAGCTTAGCTGGGCAACATAGCAGGAGACCCTGTCTCAGAAATACAAGGATGGATGGATAAGTAAATAGGTGAATCAAAGACAAAAAAAGTTGAGAGAGAGAAATCCACCAGAAGTTCTGAGGAAAGTAGGAACCTTACACTTGTAATAGTCTGCATTCCTTTTTGATTACTCGGGATTACTTACGGCTTGTATCTTTGGAATTACTTAAGTTTGCAATTCAGTGAATTCTGACTTTAATACAAATACGTGGTTGACAGAGTCCAGCGATTAAAATTCTCAGCTTTTTTTTCTTTTTAAATGTAGTCCTAGGCATTGAGAATGCTATAGAAGCGCTCTAACACTGAGCTATACCAGCATCCTCAAATTATCAGTTTTTGTGTCACGTATTAGTTCAGCTGATAATTTGAATGTTTTTGCCTTGACTTTTCCATAATGGGGACTGTATCTGGCTTGATGAATGCAGGTGACTTTGAAGTTTTTAAGTAAACTATGCCTACTTCGCAAACAGAAAGCCTTATTATGTAGGCTTTTTCATGAGCTATGGGATGTAAGTATACAAAAAAGTATGTGAATGCTTATTTTCTTTACCGATAGAATATCATCAAAAAAGTGAATGGTCAGAAGTTTGTGTACAAGTTTGTCTCTTATCCAAAGATTTTGAAAATGGATCCAATGACAGTGGGCAAGATTGAGGGCGATGGTGAGACTCTGAACTCCAGTGAAGTTAGCAGCACTTCCAAAGATGTGGAGAATGGGGGGAAAGAGAAACTTCAGCCTGGTGCCAAGACCTCCAGCCGCAATGACTACATACACTCTGGCTTGTATTCTTCATTTACTCTCAACTCTTTGAACACCTCCAATAAAAGGCTTTTCAAGTCCATAAAGATGGAGAATCCTGCTGAGAAACTGGCAGAGAAAAAATCTCAGGAACCAACACCATCTGTCATCAAATTTGTAACAACACCTTCTAAAAAGCCACCCGTTGAACCTGTTGCTGCCACCATTTCAACTGACCCAACTATTTCTTCATCTTCTGAAGAAACTATTCAAGCATTAGAGACCTTGGTTTCCCCAAAACTGCCTTCCCTGGAAGCCCCAGCCTCTGTGTCCAACATAGCTGCCAGCTTAACCCCCACACCTGCCATTCCATCCCTGCCTGCTTCTTTGAAGGAGCCTCCCAGGACACCGTCTCCGTCTCTAAGTTCTAATCCAGACATCGACACACACATTGACTCAGTGGCTTCTCAGCCAATGGAGCTTCCAGAGAACTCGTCTCTGGAGCCTGAAAACGAGGGTTCACCTTTGCCAGAAAAGGACAAAACAAATAATTCATCAAGATCCAAGAAACCCAAAGGGTTAGAACTGGCGCCTACCCTTGTGATCACAGGCAGTGACCCAAGCCCCCTGGGAATATTGAGCCCGTCTCTTCCTACAGCTTCTCTTACACCAGCGCTGTTTTCACAGGTAGCGGGACTACTTTTTAGTCTTCTGTTTGCCTTCATTCACTTTTTAAAGCAGATCTAGAATTTACACTTATATGCTTGTTTTTTGGCTCCGTAGGTTTGTCTTAGAAAGATTAAATGTAATCCTGTGAAAGTAATCTAATTCCTTACCTCAGTTAGGATTTCCAAAATAAAAGGTTTGGAGTATTGTCTTTAAACGTTCATTGTTCTACAAGTGAATAACTATTTTGGGTATTTTACTGCTTCCTAAAGAAAGTTTTCCCCCACCCCCAGCAGTGATGTTAGAAAATAGTAGGTCCTGAGAACCTTAAAAAAAGGAAGAATGTGATGTTGAATAACAGGTTCAGTTAGTTACAGTAGGTGTTTATTAACTTGCTCATCTTGTAGAACATTTTAATAGATCACTCCCAGACCCTCTCATTATTAGAGATAGAACATAGTGTTGACTCAGCTTCCCATTATTCCTCTGTACCTGAATTTAAGTTGGTTTTTCTATTTTAGAAGGACCCTATAAAAGTTCGGTTGGCTGGGTGTGGTGGTGCACACCTGTCATCCCAGCACTCAGGAGGTTGAGGCAGGAGAATCACTATGAGTTCGAGACCAGCCTGGGCTACAAAGTGAGTTCAAAGCTGGTCTGAACTGCATAATGAACCCTGTCTCAAAAAAAAAAAAAAAAAAAAAAACCACCACACAGACACACAAAAGTTGGGTTAAAAAGTAGTTATTTTGACCTTTATCTTTCTTAGGTTATAAAATGATGTCTAAGCTTTTCCTCATGATAACACTCTAGAATTAGAGATACTCGGAGTGAAGAATAGTACGATTCTTGGGCTCAGATTTATATACAACCTGACTGTTTGTGTACTGCTGCAAGGATGAGCAGAAGCCTATTCATGAGTGGATGTTTTTGCGTGTTGCAGACACCCATCCTGCTGACGCCAAGCCCCTTACTCTCCAGCATCCACTTCTGGAGCACACTTAGCCCTGTTGCTCCCCTGAGTCCAGCCAGACTGCAAGGTGCTAACACACTTTTCCAGGTAATTTCTTTTTTTTTTTGGCACTGGAAATTGAACTCAAGACCTCGTGCTTGTCAGGCAGACACTATGCCACTGAGCTACATCCCGGGCCCTCTCCAGGTAATTTCTGTCTCTTGTGATTATGGAAAGTTAAATGATGAAACAGGTAAAAGGTCAGTGTCCTGCTCTTCAATTTAATCATTACAGAACTATATGTCTATATATCTGTATGCGTATATATATAATATGGCTATGGTGGCTAGTTGGGAGGCCAAGGCAGGAAAATCACTTGAGCCTAGTAGTTTAGGGCTAGCTTGGACAACATAATCAGTCCCCATCTCAAAAACAAAAAACACATACGTGTTCCTCCTCAGTTTGCAACAGGGTTATGTGTTAGCTCCGATAAACCTATCATAAGTTAAAACTATTGTTGACATGAATTCAACACACTTATGGGACATCCTTGCTGAGGAACACACTGATTTTCCTTGTGATGTAGCAGTGGACTAGAAGTTGGCAATCTCTGTTGCTGCCCAGCATGGCAAGAATATCCTATGTATATTGTTAGCCTGGGAAAAGAGGAAAATTTAAAGCATGGTGTCTACTGGATGCATAGGACTTTAACACTATCACAAGTTGAGCTATTGTCAGTGACCATCTCTGTATACAAAGCCAAATGCATACATGCAAATAGCCACATGTTGCTTAGTGATGAGGACACATTCTAAGGCATTCATTGCCAGGTGACTTGGTAATTGTGTGGCCATCACAGTGTGCTTATACAACCTATATGGTCTAGCCTACTGCATACCTAGGGTATCTGGTATATGTATATAAACAAGGAAAAATGATACAGTCAGGAGACAAGGTACACAAGACAAGAAGCACAGGGTGTGTAAAGCTGACAGGCATACAACATGGCATAAACAGTAAACGTTTTACAAGTTCGAGTATGCTCCAAAATAACAAAAAGCTAGGGGTGGTAGTGCACGCCTGTAATCTCAGAACTTGAGAAGCTGAGGCAGGAAGATTGCCTGGAGTTTGAGGCCAGCCTCAGCTACATAGTGTGTTCGAGAGCAGTCTTAACTACATAGTGAGACCCTGTCTCAAGTAAAAGATTAAAACATGCAATGTAATAGCCAGGCATGGTGGTGCATACCTGTAATCCTAGTACTTAGGGAGATTTAGGCAGCAGGATTACAAATTTGAGCACAGTCTGGGAGACCTAGTGACTTGGCAAGACCTTGTCTAGAACAATTAGAAGAGGGGTTAGGGATGTAGCTCAGTGTCGAAGCCCTGGATTCAATTCCCAGAACTCCCAGGGTGGGGTGGGAGGGATTATTATATATGTATTATTCTTTCTCCCACCTTTTTTTTTTTAATGGTGGTAGCAGGGATTGACTTTAGGGACTTACGTTTGCTAGGGATGTGGTCCACTGAGCTACCCTCCTTCTGCATTTGTCTGCATTTGTCCTTTTTTGTTTCTTGCACAAAATTCCTAAATTAGTGAATGGGAAGAGTTGAGAATGTTCCATATTTCATTTTTACAAATTTTTTTTTTTCATTTTTATGTTTTCTTGGCCTCTCCAGAACAGATTCTTGAGTGATGGTGTGATCTGAGACTTTAGGCAGAGTCATAACGCCACTGTACTGTTAGCCTGGAATTTCTCTGTGCAGGAGATCTCAGAATACATGATAGGAAAGCCTTTTCTTGGATGGGCACCCTCTACTTGACCTTCGTGGAATTTTTTTTGAGGGTCATGATTTGCTTTATAGTTGAATACTACTATAGTGCATGTTGCCATGCACTAGACTTCCTGCAGACTTCACTGAGGTTAACTAACCCTATGTATGAGATATGATGGAAAGTAAAGGATTATTCATTGTTCCCACTCCATTGAGGTAGGTTGGAGAGAGGTAATATTTAGTATGTCAGGGCAAACAACATTTTTTAAAGTTTCTGTTACACTGTCATACTCTTGCATCACAAATGGTTATTGTGTTTGTCCTTTGAATCACTGCAGAAGGCGGTCATATTTTGCCTCAGGGAATATAGTGGGATAGAAAGTGAAAGTTGGAATTGAGTAACAGGATGATAATGTGTTTTCCTTTCTTACCCAGTTTCCTTCTGTACTGAACAGTCATGGGCCGTTCACCCTGTCTAGCCTGGATGGACCTTCCACTCCTGGGCCATTTTCCCCAGACCTGCAGAAGACATAATCTATGCACTTGTGACATGAGAGACTCAAGGAACGCAGAAATGGACATTCAACTTGATTTCATTGGAGTGAGGTTGACTTATGATTTTTGCCATTTCCTACTGAAACACCTTTTTCAGGATTCTCTTTGAGTAGGTTTCAAGTTAGACTGTGTGAAATGCCTTAATTGGAGTCCACCTCCACATTCTTGTCTTTTTTTTTATGTTGAGCTAAGTGCTAAAGTAATTTTGGTGGGGTTTAGCAGCTATGCTTTGCAAGAGTGAGTAAGAACAAAGTTACTCCTCCTGGCTGTCAGAATCTTTTGGCTAGGAAGAAGATTATTATTTTATTATTTTAAGGAATACTAGTCAGATGTAATTGGCTGTGTCTTTAGAACTGAGTGTGCTCTGTTGAATAAGTAAAAGTGAGCTGTTCATAAGCAGTGGGAGAAAAAGAATCCATTCCTGTTCATACGAAATAAGATTGGAGCAGTATCATCGTGCAGACTCTGCTTTGCTACGAACTGTAGTGTGTAGGTATGGAAGCAATTCCACCGAAGACATCTTGTTCACATGTATGCAGTGGGTCTTGTAGCCACATGTATGATCTCATCTTCACCTGTCCGAGCACATGGAGCTCGTCTGTCTCAACATAAGATTTTTAAGCCTGGGATTTAAGGTGGTTTTTAGACCATCTTGTGAGATTATAGGGCCCCACATCTAGCACAGAAATGCTTCTGTCTGGTATGATTGCATACATACGGAACACAGCATAGTTGGTGATGACTTTTAGCAGGATGGACTTAGGTTAAACTGGATACCTTAAGACAACGTGAAAGGTCTGTCCCAGTTAGAAGATGCTGAGGGGAGGGACTCTGTCTCATTCCTGCTCATTTTACCCCATTTTCTTCTGTATATTCATCACCTTTCCTTCTAAATCTAAAGCTGTGAGGGGTTGTGACAGTATTAAATGCCATTCGGAAGGTGGAATGCAAAGTGAAACCTTCAGTCAATAATGAGGCAGAGATGCACTTGTTCTTTCAGTCTTTTAATTAATTAGGGAGGATCATTCATGTGGCAATACTCATATATAGGAATTAGACTGTTCTAATTAGCTTTGGAAAATGTAGGCCTTTATTTCTGTATTACCAAATTTATATATTTGTTTTTGTTTTTTTGAGACAAGGTTGCACTGTGCAGTTTAAGCGGTCCTTGAACTCACTGTGTAGCCCTGGCTGGCCTCAAACTTATGGCGATCTGAGTCCTGCCACAGTCTCCTGAGTGCTGAGATTACAGGCATGTGCCATCATGCCTGGCTGTTTTGGGTTTTTTTTTGTACTGGGAGTCAAACAAAGGACCTTGTGCTTGCCAGGCAGGTGTTGTACCAGTGAGCTGTATCCCTGGCACCTGGCTCTGATTTGTAAATATCATCATATAGTAATCAGTGCCAGGTGCAGACAGATCTTTTGACCTCCCCAAACTGAATTGGTACTAGTAGCACATTAGGCTCTTGAAAAATTTGGCTTTTAAGTCCAGGCCTAAATTATATGCTGCCACCATGCCACTCAACTAGTTTTTGTTTAAGTTACATAGAGGTTTATTTAGCTCATAGCTTTGGAAGCTGAAAGTCCAAAGTCAGCTCCATGCCGTTAGCCTCTCAGGTTCTTCTGCCTGGATCAGCATGCTCATGGCATTGCTGGGCAGGTGTGTTGAACTCCTTCTTTAACACTGTAACTGAGTCACGTGAGCTAAGTGGAATGAAGAGGTAAGGACTTGAGGGCTTAAAATTACACTGATACAAATCAGCATCTTCTAGATAACCATATTTGCTTTAAATTTACCTACAGACAGTGTAGAGAAGCTCTTAGATAAGGCATATAAGCTAAATCATTTGAAGTGGAGGGGGAACACCCAGTGAGCTGTCTTTTGAAGGATAGTGTTGGAGACCTGTTACTGGTTCATTTGTGGTTATCGGCTGCAAGTTCTGTTCCCAAGATGTGCAATAGTAGTGTTGAGAGGTAGTGTTTAGCAGCGATGGGAGCAGACATACAGAATGTCTTTTCCCCTGTTGAATTAGCTTGCATGCTTGTTTGAAATTAGACCCCTTAGCAGCACTTTGTAGTAGTTTTATTAGGTTAACCTTTTGTATAGTAAATAAATACTGATGGCTGACTTAACTAGATGTTTTAAATTTTGAAAGCACAGAGGTATTTTTATCTTTTTGAAATAAAGGAGGAAAGCCATTGATTTATTTTCACAGATGATATATTTGATGGTTTACTGTCTCAATACAAAAGTGCTTTGAAACCAAGGGCACTGTTAAAACTCAGTCAGAGCAACTTCCTAGGAAGCGGTTTTAGAGTCCTTTTTCTGTGAGCCTGGAGCCAAAGCCTCTGAGAGGTATGAGGTCTTAGGAGGTAGATGATCTGCTTTGTCTTTGAGATCAGCTAATTTGGGTAAGTGTGCACGTGTGTGTGTGTGTGTGTGTGTGTGTGTGTGTGTGTCCTTTTTAAAGTCAAAGTTTACAACCTTAGCCAGTATATGAGGCAGACAGTTCTATTTGTAGACTACCTCTTTCCTGGAAAAGCTTCAAGTTCGTATTCGTTTGAACATCTATAGATTTATAGTTAGCTTCAAAAGGTGACATACCACTTACGATCTGTATTTACTGGAGAGACGTACTTTTGGTACCTGTAGCTGACATCCATCACCAGTCACTTGTCAGGGTGGAGATTGTTGGGCAGCAGAAGCCTGAGGTGAAGGAGAGGAGCAGGTTGTATGGCGTTTGGAGATATCTTCTGTGAGATCTTAGTTTTTCTTCTGTTTGGGCTGATCTTCACTCAGTCATGTGCTAGAAAATGTTTAACAACCAGGATCTTGAGGGCATAGGGGGACAGGGTGTACATCACACCCCCTGGCTGTTTTCAGTCCCCTGCCTTGGAGTTGAGAGGGGATGTTCTCAGAACCAGTGCTAACTAACCACTGCAGTACTCCACCCTAGGGTAGCTTTTCACATGAGTTATAAAATGTATTTTTCCTATTTATATGCTGATTTTGGAAAATTAAAATCTTATATCTGACTTCAGTAGTCTTTTAAAAAAAGATTTGCCATTCTACTCTTGGTTGGTTTTTTTTTTTTTTTTGTACCAGGAATCGAACTCAGGACCTTGCACTTGCCAGGCAGGCACTGTGCTACTGAGCTATATCCCCGGCCCTTGCCATTCTACGCTTACGATGTTCTAAAAGGCATATTTTGTGATTGAACAAAGATAAGAATTTCCATTGATTAAAAAATTTATACATAATGAAAGACTCTAGAGGCCCCCAACTCTTAAGAGTTAAAATATAGGTTTACCTTTTCCCCACATTTGAACAGTTTATGTATAGGTATAATTTTTTTCCCTTCAAATTTTGGTGGGCCAAGTAAACCCATGGATTTTTAACTGGACAATTCTGTGAAGATATACATAGTAAGTTAGAGATTAAAATAAAATGAGGACTGGCTGGTTACATAAAGCAGAGGTATGGAGGCCTGGAGCTGTTACTGAGGCTGTTGGTAGCAGCACAGGGGCTCTGTACACACCAGCATTGCGGGGTACCTCGTCCAGCAGCATTGCTGCACCCTGATGTCAGAATTCGTATGATGAATCTCAAGTTCTCAAAAAGCAGTTTTGTGTTTCTGTTGAGTTGAGCACCTCTAAAGGCCTCCAGTAGTATATCAGAGAAGGACCCCCAGCCTTGAACTATAAAAGTTTTTGAAGAGAAACTTTCTCCGTTACAAATTCCTATGTGTGTATGTTGCTCATAGTGCTTTATTAAAGTAACATGAAGAATACAAAGTGTGCACATAGAGATGAAGGGTAACATATGAATTCAGGGTGGTAGGTTGGTGTACCTTGAAGCACGTACTCTTTTAAGATCACAGACTCAGAATTTTGTGTCTCAGTTGAATCTTGGCAAATATGTATGATTTTGTGTGTGTGTGATATGTGGGAAAATCCCAGAGAGCTTGTCATGAGTTTTTGAAATTTGCATTAATTCTTTTCATAAGTTGCCAAATAACCCATTAGCAAATGTTTGCCAGATCTTCAAGCATATTATTTTTAATAGCCTGTTGTCTTCGTCATCTTTGTACTAGGTATGACTATTTTTATCTTGCTAGTCTGCTTACAGACTTCATATTTTACTAAGAAATTCAGAATTATTTCACACTGGTTTATGCTAAAATACACAACTTCCACTTTTTTGCTGTAAGCTTTAACTTTGGGGGGTGATATTTCAGCATCTGAAGTAATTTTTTTTTTTTTTTTTTTTTTTTTTTTTTTTTTTTTTTTTTTTTTTTGAGACAGAGTCTTGCTGTGCAATTCAGGCTGGCCTTGAGCTCACTTTGTAGCCCAGGCTGGTCTTGAATTTGCAACAATCCTCCTGCTTCAGCCTCCCGAGTGCTGGGATTACAGGTGTGCACCACCATACCCAGTGGCATACTTTTCTTGATAGTCTGTTTTTCATCCCTTCATTGACTATACATTTTATTTACCCATGCCAGGAATCTAGAATCATGATGAGATAGTATCATTCTTAGGTGTGGGAGCAAGTATGGGATGAAGAGCATACATTTTAGAGCATAAACCTGAATCATCAAGCCAGCAGAAACGTTAGAGACTTTTATGATGCAGGTGGATATCCGAGGGTCTGATAGGAGATGGTTTCTGAAGTGGAATTGAGCAGTGAAGTGGTCAGTCCACAGTAGTAAATGAAATAGAAGTTGCCATAGCTGGTAGTTTGACCAGAGCATGAGTTCTGGGGGAAGTGTTTTTTCAGTCATCTTTTTTTGTTGTTGTTAGTCATCCTCTTCTCTGGAACCAGCAAATGTTTTGTTTTCTTTTCAGTGCTGGCATTGCCTGAAATGAGGTGCCCTGTTTGTTACTCCTGTCAGGTCATCAGAACTCTGCTTCCTGAAGGTGAAATTTTAATCTGGGACTCCACTCCTTGTAAGTGCTGTGGTATTAAATTAGAGGAGTTTGATCTCATTCTTGTGGTTGGTGGAACTTGTTACCGTCACAGTCATGCTCTGACCTGGAAACAGCAGGTCCAAGAGGTGAACTGTTGCGAGTGCCCTCCAGGTGCTCTCTGTGAGGCTGGCTGGTTCCTCAGAAACAAGTGTAACACGTGGTTATCCGGGCAGAGTAGCTGTTCCTAGGGTGCTGCTGTTGTGAAAAATGGGAATCCAGAAGGGTATGTGTGACAGGGGATGTTAGCTTTAAACCTTCTACAGAAATCAGGACACTCAAGGTATTGTTCACATTTTGTTTTGCGGTGCTTGGGATGGAACCCAGGGCCTTGCGTGTACTAGGCAAGCACTCCACCCCTGAGCTATACCTTCAGCCCCCATAATTTAAAATGAAACCTGTAAGAAGGAAATTTGTGAGGGTTACAAACCTAGTAGATCTTTTGAATGGTAATCTTTGAGTGTAATAGACATCAGGAAGTTTTCATAAGGTTTAAATAAATACTTTGATACATTTACTGGGAGACTAGGACATTTCTGAGTCATTCTGATTTATTGGCCGAGTGCATTTGTGTACATGTATATACCCATGTATATGTGATACACTGAGAATGTGTGTGTGTGAGTCCGCTGTTCAGAGGGAACATAATCATCCTCTAGACTAGGGTGGCTCTTAGGCTATTTTATACTAAAACTAAAATTTTGCTGCACTTTGCAGTTGCAACTTTTTAAAGATTAATGCCTTGCACATTTCAGTTTGTAAATGTATAGAATCATAGGCCTTAAAAACTAACTGCTTGCGAACACTTTGAGAAGTGCAGCACTTAAATGTGACACTCTGAACAGTCATCTTAAACTGTTCTCTTATGTCGGATGGTCTTTCTTAAAAATTCTGTATTTTTATTTGCTTTTGTGTAAAATCTATTAGATTGGGTTAAGTTTCTCAGAGAGGTGGTTTATATTAGAACCAGTATTTCTAAAATACAGAAATGTGACCATGGATTGTTACAGCAGTGGAGGATTTCTAGCTTTGTGACTTAATTTACCCTTTTAAACTGTATATAAGTAGTATTAGCCAAAACCTCAAAGAAGAGTATCTGGGGCTGAGTGGTCTTCTCAAGTTTGCCCTGTTTCCCATCTCATAACGGCCTACTCCGGTTCTCGTCCCTTCCATAGAATATGAGCTGTGCTGTCTGTCCTGGGATTGTTCTGGATGGGG